AAAAACTAAAATTTTAGGTTCTTCTAATATTTCCAGCATTTTATATTATATTATTATATAAATTATTACAAAAGCCTATTTTTTATTTTATTATCCAATTATATAGCTTTATTTCAACTTCAAAAAAGAAAGCTTTTTAGTTAAATCTAACATATCTACTATTTTTACTTATTTCACTTGACCAGTTCATACTTATCTTCATCTAACATTCAATCATATTAGCATTAAGTTTAAAGTATACAGTAGTATTATTTCTTTTATGCTTTTTTATATAATCTATATTATATGATTTTTAAAAGAAAGAGTATGATATCTGCTTTTGTTTAGTAATACTTTTTTATTTTTTGTAGCTTAACTTTTTATTTGCATTGTGACCATTTTTTTGTGATAATTTATATAAATAAAGAAAGACCATTGCATATTTATATATATATACAAATTAATTTAATAGATCTATATATTATATAATAAGATGATTAGCAGTTATGAGATTTAAGATCTTTATTTTTAACATTTAACATAGTTTTTGAGATTGAAATCTTAGCAATTTTATTAGTATTTAAAATAAGCATTCTTATAGCCAAAAGAGATGCTTATTTTTAGAGAAATATAATATACTTTAAGTAAAAAATGAAAAATTCAGTTTAATATAAATAAATTTTTATTTAATTTGAAGTATATAATTATAACAAAGCATATATAATTATATACAATTTTAAAAATTATAAAGTATATAATTCTAAGTCTTTAAAATAATTATAAAGTTAAAAATTAAGTTTTAAATAAAATATATAAGTTTTTACAATATCAAAATATTAAATAATTATTAAAATTCATACAAATATGAAAAAATTGATTTATTTTTTTTTAATTTTTTATGTGATAAAATAAATTTATTTTTATTATTATAAAAATTATTTATCAAAATAAAATATATAGCATAATAATAAAAATATTTACGTAATTTAATTAAAATTACTTATTTTATAAATATATATAGTTTTATGCTTTTATTTTGATTAATAATATTCATTAATATATTGATTTATTATTATTTATAATAATTTAATATTGATAAATCATTGTGATAATATTATTTTAATATCAAATTTACATTATTTGCAATATTAATCAATATATTAAATAAATATTATTATAGTATTAATCTAATTATCTTAATTAATATTAATTCAACCTTTTAACAATATTGCAAAATCATTAAAATAATAAAGATATTATTTTACAGCTAATTGCAAAATTGTGTGACCACTTTATGATTTTTCAGTTTTAAATTTTAGATTTTTTATTTAATACAAGATTACTGTTTTAGTAATAAAATCTGATTCCTTAAAATTGAATTAGTATTAATATTTAGATTGATAATATGTAATACATGCAATATAATGAACCTTTTTTTAACATGTTCTTTGCATTTTTATTACATATTTTCTTAAAAAAATATAACAATAGACTTATAAAGTATAATAGATATTAATATTATACTTTAAATATAAACTTAGAAAAAATACATGTATTATTTAGGTATTTGTGAAACTTGTGACAGATATATAGTAAGCAGTAAATATAAATACTCAAATTGAAGACCTAAAAAAGACTTTATACATAGAAAATTTGAAGTATGAGAAAAAGATAATTTTGTTAAATTTGTAAAATTAAATAGTTTTAAAATGTTAAAGCAGATTTTGATAAAGACTTTTATTATTGTTTATATACACATTATTATTAGGATGTAATTGGTAAGAAATAAAAAAAAACTAAAAGGTTTAGTTACTTAATTATTATATTTAATAAATTTTAATAAAGAAGCTATTAAAGAAATATTAATTGAAAAAATTAGTAATGACAAATCAAAAGAATTAGATGATTAGTTTATTAGCATTATGATAGAATTTCAAACATAATGATAATTATATTTATTTTAATTAATATAGATCTTATTAAAATTCCTTTACTTAAATTTAATGAAGAGGAATATTGTAATACTATTAAAGTTTTTATTAAATTATATCCTGAACATGAAACTTTATCTAATATATTAAATATTATTAGAAATAAATTATATAAAATATGAAATGATGTAAATTTTAATTCTCTTTTTTATTTGGAAAAACAAGCTAAAAGGCTTCACATTATATTATTCTTGATGACTAATAAATTTGAGAATTTATTTTAAATTTTCTTAGAAATAAAAAGTATAATTATGTGTTAAGTTAGAATATTTTAAAGGTAATTGTTTAAACTAATTCTATTAAAATTTTTCTTTTATTAATAATTATATATTTAATTAATATTATATATTTATTTATAGAATTTGTACTAAAATAAATACATTAAAGAGATTTTTAATATAAAAGACAAATATAAAAGCTGTAATAAAAAAATTGGTAAAATAAATATCTCTTTAGCATTAATTTTTAAATGATTTTGAATAATACAATAATGCAAATTTATATTTATTTTTTAAGCAATTAAAAAAAGCTAAACAGATAAGCAAAATATTTGACGATAGAAAAAAAGGATCTGAAATATTAAGTTATTTGTATAATGCATATTATACAAGATCTTTTGTTAGTTTTATGAAGATGAATACTGTTTAACTTATTATGAAAAAAAATCCTAAACAGCATATTTAACTAAATGATTCTATACTATTAGTATAATAAGTTATTATTTATTATTATATAATATATTATTAATTATAATTAATAATATTTAAATTTATTATAAGTAGATGATTCTAAACCAGAAAAAAATAAATCAGAATCTAAAAGGACTTTTTTATTAAAACTATTACCTTTAATATCATTTTTACTACTAGCAATTTAATCAAAAAAAACAAAAAATTAGTATTTCATTAAAAACACAAATTGAAAATAATTCTAGATTACAACTATAATCATTTATTAAATATCATAGCTAACTCTATCACTAATGTATAATTTATGTCAATATGGCTATTATAATTCTTATAAACTACCATCATAATTTAATTATCAAAATACATTAAAATTTACAATTTAATAGTATTAAAGATTTTCTTACACAATTTAGTGAATCTTTTTTGGTGTATAAAGTAATTTTATTAATAATAGATATACTCTTAATTTATTATCACATTTAATACTAAGTCAATTAAAAGATATTAGGATAAACTTGGTTGAATATTATGTTAAAATTTTAATAGAATTAGAAATTAAAATTCATAATTAATTTTTTTTTTACTATAATCATTTATAATAAATAATTAAATATTTAATATCTTAAAATTAATTTTTTATTAATATATTAATAAATTAAATATAATCAGTATGAGTAAAATATGCTTTAGCTTTATTTGATTTTATTAAACCAAATGCTGTATTTAATATATAATAAGCACTATTTTTTCTTTTTACCTATTCATGATATTTACGAAAAAAACTCTTTACATATGAAAAGCATTGTTTAATCTATAAATAAATAATAATTTAATTAAAATTAAACTAATACATATAAAATATTGTATAAAAAATATTATCAAGTTAAAATCAGAAGAATAAGCAGATAAAATATTAATTTTATTTTATATGTTACAAGAATTTCATAAACATGAAAAGATTTATGTTTAAAATAATTATTTATTATTAAAACACTATTTGGATTTGGAAATAAATTCATGACAGATAACTATATAATATTTAATTTAAATTTTAACAATTAAATAATTTAAAATAATAATTAAATAAAAAATATATTTACTAAATTATGTAGTAAAAAATTATTAAAATCATCTCTATTCATAGGTCCTTCTTGTATATGATAAACAATAATACTACTTATTTCTAAAGCTTTCTCAATTGTATATCTTTTACCTCTTATAAATGCATATTTAAGTTTTACATATTTGTTTAAAAGGAATATCCATAAGACCTAAAAGCTATTCTTTCATTTTTAGCAGTTTTATCTACAAAAACTAGCTGTTTAAGTGAAAATTTTTTCATTTTTATAATAAAAAAAGCTTTCTCTATTTTGTTTTTTTCTTTTATCTTTTTAGAAAGCTATAAATATAAAAGATATAAATAAAACTACTTTAAAAATTCTTTTTGATATTAGTATAATACTTAACCTTTTTTTTAGAATATCTAAAAAATTTTAAAAAATGATAAATAATTGTAACATTAACTGAAAAATTAGAGGATTCGTTATATAAATATTTTTACTGATATTTAGTTATTTTAGCTGCTATTTCATTCAAATACCAATCAGATCTTTTGAGTAAAAGTCTATATAGCTTCTATATTAAGAAGAGTTTTAATATTTAATATTGTAATTTAATAAAATAATAATATAATAAATGTTTACCATAATTCTTTTATTTCACAACTTTGATTTTTTTTTTACTTTCTTCTTATTAGGATTTTGCAATACACCATATTTTTTATAACATGCTTTACAGCTTTAACAGAAATTTTTGATATATGACATTCTTTAGAAATTTGTGAAATGCTTAGTCTACTTAGCAAAGACTTTTAAATTATTAATTTTTTTATGTCTTTACTTAAATGAGAATATCACATTTTATTAAAATATTATAAGAAAAATAACATGAAAAGTAATGTGAAAATTTGTTTATATGATTTATTTATAATTAAGATATCAACTCAAAATTAAAGTTTATAATTAAAAATCAAATTTCATATTGAAAAATCATGAAGTGATCATATAATTTTTGCAATCAGCTGTAATATTAATTTGATATTATTAAGATATAGAATTTCTGAAAAAAATATTAAAATTTTAGTAAAACATTTTACTAAATTTCATATAATTATTTATTTTTTATATAAAACATTAATTATTTAAATCAATTATAACTTATATAAAGTATCTTTTTTTTTAATAATATAAATCAAAATTTTTTATTAATTAATCGATCTATAAGAGAAACTTTTTTGTCATATAAATGAATTATTATATAATATAAATTAGAAATTATATTATTAATCAAAACTAAAGAACTAGTTAAAAGTGTAAAAAAAGGAATAATATCATATGTAATGATAAATTTTTTATAATATACCTAAAATATATATATATTAAAATTAATATTAAATAATAAATAAATAAACAATTTGTAAAATTGCTTACTTGTATTATAAATTGAGGAATATCCTCAATTAAAAATCCTAAAAGACTTCCCCAAAATATATAAGATTGTGTTCTTTTTTCGATAGGAGCACTAAATAACATTATTCCAGCAACTTCAGAAGAAAGTATATTTATTAATTCAAGATCCGCACCAGCTAATATTGTGAATAAAACTGCTGTATTGATATTATTTCTAAACCATTCATAAAAAATTTTATTTTGTGTAATTTCTTGAAGCATTATAATCATACTTAAGGTGGAATTTATTGCCACTGGCACCACAACGAACATTATACTGTAATGCGAGTATTTGAAAATTAATTATAAGAGAAAAGAAAATTATGTTTGAATATATACAGTATATACATACCTTGGAATAAATAATTGAGGAACCTTTTTTCCATTATTCTGGATAAATAAAATATCTAAAATAAAATCCAAAATAACTAAAGTAAGTTTGAATATTACAATATTTTTACCCTAAAGATAGAGAGATGTTAATAATTTTATAAATTTAACTCTAACAGAATTGACTAAAGTTCCGGCCTTAATCCATAACTAAATATTTTACCATAGAATGCTTTTTCCTAGCATATAAATAAAACAAACATAAAATTATTACTCCAATAACAATACCAATTAAATGAAATTTAACATCATCAAAGAAATTCCCTAAATATATAAAACATTTAAATGAATTAGATAATTATTGGAATGTTTTCTTATATACCAAGGTAAGCTACTTACTAGTACGTTGAAAGCCAAAACTTGCATCTATAAAATTTGTTGTTTCGAATAAAGATATAGGCGTAACTTCTTTATATTGAATCAAGAGATCTAAATCTTTTATGATATGATCGACATTTCTTTCATTTAAATTTGATGTTGATTTTATAGATAATGATAGAAATATTCGTTGATTTTCATCAGATTCATACTTAATAGCATGTAATCTATTAATCTCCAAAGGTATTGATTTTGCCAAATAAACTCTTAAATTTAATAAAAATCTTGTTTGGTTATATGATGAAAGACTTTTAAAATATTTTGTTCCTTCGGTCGTTAAAGAAAATCGACCAGTCACATCCTCTGAAAATTTAAAATAAATTAATATTAAAAACGACGGTTCTTAAAAAATTTACGTTTAATTACCCGCAAAAATATCTTGATTGTCGACTTTAAATCAATATAATGAAAATAATTAATTAAAAAAATTCGAATAATTACAAATATTATTATTAAGTAATTATTTACCAGTATTAAACTCCCAAATATTACTTCCAATTCCTATTATAGGTTGATTTGTTTCCAAATCGTTAACAACATTATCTTCAATTACAATGCAATACTTTGCATTTGGTTGATTAAATGTACTTTCTAAAATACTTATATTTATTGTTCTATTGTCAGCACTATATGTAAATGATAGAGAGTTGCCTGGAACGGTTTGTCGCAATGTAGAATCGCTATTATTAACTTGATAAATAAAAATATTGTTTATTGATGTTGTTACTGGAAAGTTATATGTGATATTAATATTAGTTAATGATAAAGGTATCTTGGAATTAATTGATGGATAAGTAGCTTTAATATTTGGATTATTATAACCATTATCTAAATAATGTAAACATCGAGTTAAAAATTAAAATGAATAAAATGTTTTACTGATTAGAACATTTACCATTAGATGTGAACTTTGGAATATCTGCAGAGTAAATTTTCCAAGTATAATTATCTTCTTGGTGAACAATGACAAATGTGTTATTTCGAAAACCTCCTGTTGAATAGTTATTAATAATTTTTATATTTTCTGGAAGATCCAATGTGTTATTGTAATTTCCGTTATTATCAAGTATGACGGATTGAAATGTCTTATAAAGAGTATCTTCCGAATCTTTAAAAATCGTCAACAAAAAACCTCCATGATATACATTATTAAACATCACAAATTCATTTTCATCTAAATTTCTATATAATTCAATATCTGAAAATGTTTCAACATCGACAACCGAACTGTGTTGTAAACTGAATTAATAAATTATTATTAAATAAAAAATTAAAAATTAACATAAGTCGTACAAACCCTGAATTTTGAAATATAATTTTAATCACATGATATTTAGGATCTTCATGCTGTTCGTCTTTCATATTCAGAATGCAAAAATAGCCCTTAGTTGTATAAGCAACATTACAACTAGATTGAATTTGTAAATTCGGTATTGAAGTTTGGTAAAGTAAATATGGGCCATCAGCATTTTTATTTGGTCCAACGAAGGTTATATATAACTCAAAAGTTAGTTCGGTTGGATCAATTAGTCCATGAGGGCTATTTGAAGTATTTTTATGAATTCTAGTTACTATTCCAAAATTTCCATCTATTGTGGGAAAAATATCTGATATTTCTTGATCAAAACGACCATTATTTATTGGTAGGAAATTTCCATTCGAATCACTAAGAACGCATTTAATTATTAACAATATCGTTTGTATTTAATTGATATTGCTAAACTTTACAACTTACGAATTGTTAAAGTAAATCCATTCCGTATCCGTTTCAGTTAAAGGATTGTAAAAAAGAAAGCCGTTTTCCTCGTTTGTGTGTAGAACCATATTTCCAAATTTTGAAAATGCTCCATTGATTACGGAAACGCGTGAAATATATGTATTACTTTTATATAAAGATATAAATAAATATCAATCCGCAATAATTAAATAATTAATGATATCATTACTAAAGAAAGAAATATATAAACCTAATGAATTTTCCAGTACGAGTAACATGTAATGCAAAATAACTTGCCGAATTTATATCGGTAGAGTTCTCGTAAAGGACATAGATATAATCCGGCAAATGGCGATAAAGCACAAGATGTAAAGGCATCGATATATCATTTGGTATAATGCAAAAATTAAAATCTGGGATTGGATAATCCACTTCTGCTTTATCGACTGTGCCATTTGGATGTATAATGCGAAGGATAATTCTTGGTTCGCTGCAGGTTTCATTTATCGGTTTATTCAAGTAAACCACCGAAGTTCCGTCATAATAAGTTAATAATTGATAAACCTGAAATCCAGGTTCAGTTTCATTATAAGAAAATGTTTTATAAGAAAATAAGCATAATGGATTTATTAATAATATAAAAATCGCTATAAAATATAAAGAATTTGTTCCTGACAAATTCATCTTTAAATTTTTATTTGATTTGATGAGGAGCAAACATTCTTTATATAAAAAAAATTTTCAAAATTTCTATTGTTTAAAGAATAATAATAAACATTATAAATGATCAGTGTGTAACTGTTTGTGATTTTCCTATGACATACAGAGTTTCTTAAATGATCATCGGTTACACTATTTCAAACTTATCGACTTTGTTAATCATATAAGTATAAAACTAGGGAACGGAGACCGTGGTTAAGTCCGGAACGATCTTAACTAAAAAAAATATTGCGGGCGGACATCGGGACACTTTGCGTAGACATATATAGTCCTTCATTTCGTTTCGGACTAATAAAAAGTATTTTATTAAAAAAAAAGATCGGCAATTGAAAATTATAAAATTGGATTGCATAGTCTGCATGCAGTGCCACATTATAAAAAAAAAATTTTTTTTTTAGTAAAATGTTGATCTTTGCTGCGTGATAATTTCTGATTGAATGGTTTAATTTTAACAAAAACTTTTTCCAAACTCTTTCCCATTGGATACTATTTAAGAATTTTTACATAAAAAATTTGTATGTTCGAGTATGTTCACAGCTTAGCCTGCAAACAAAAAAACTACAAAAAGTTTTCTCTTTTTATTCCTTATACGGTGCCGGAAGTCTTAACAATGTGATTTGTGGATTTATATCACGTGATTAGTAATTGACCAATGAAAAACGAATATTAATCTTTTTTTTTTGTGTATCATTTTAAAATTACAATAATTCGAGCTGACATTATGATTAATTACCATAATGCCGGTTCGAATTATTATAAATTTCAATCAATAATATATGTTTCAAATTCAGAAAGATCATATGAAAATTATCCAATTTTAAATGCCTATAACTTTTTATATAGAACTTATTTTGAAAAATTAACTGTAATTTAATAGAGGTTATCTCAAAGAATAAAGTTACCAGTTTATTTTTTCTAAATTTATTTTTTTAAAGAATTGAAAGATTTTAAAGTGTTACAATTATATTGTTGAATATAGACTTTTTGCACTATACCTTTATTCAAAACAATAGTTCTTTTTTTTTTAAAATATTTTTTTCATCACTTCTTTTAGTTATTTTTTTTATTTGTTTTTTAGTTTTCTTTATTTGCTTACAAAAATAGATATCATAGGTATCTAAACTAATAATTAGAATTAATACAACTTTAAATGTAGAATTTTACATAATAACTTTTTACTAGTTACCTTTCTAAACTAACAAATTCACTTAAAAATCTCTAATATTATATAGTCTGCTAATACTAGTGTAATTGATTTTCTAAAACTTTAAAATTATATGATTTAGATCTCATTATCATACTAACCATTAACTGTAATTTGAATTAAAAGACATTTTAATATAGAATTAAAAACTCTAAAAAATCTCTAACAGAATTTAATGATTATAGATGTTTCTATGCTAAAAGGTCATTGTAACTTGAAATTATTTGAATAATTTAACTAATAATTTGTTGATGTTATAATTTATTTATTAGCTTCTTTTTTAGTTCAATATTAATACAAGTTACTTATTTTATATTGAATTTAAATTTAGGTTAAGTGTTAATTATATTAGATAAAAGAAAGACGTAATAATAATCTTAGTTATCATATGTTAATAATGGTTCTATTATGTATTATTGTTGTAGTATAATAAGATAATTAATTGATCTAGTAACAGTATATATTTTACTTTATCTAACTTTTAAGCAGCAATTTTTATTTTTCCATTTGTATTTGCTAGAATGTTTTTCTTATAATTTTTAAAAAATAAATGTTTTATAATATTTTTAAATAAAATTATTTATTTTAATAAATTTTAACTTATTAGAATTACTATACTAAGAAAAATCAGAATTTAGTATTAATTTATAATAGTTAGTTTAATTAAAAAAATTTTTATACTCAAACTTTATTATATAAAAATTTTTGATAGTAATTATATAAAAGTAATATTATTAACTTGATATTAATTTTTTCTGAATTGGTGATCCTAATTTAATTTTTAAAAATTAAATCTCTTTTATAAGTTATATTATAAAAGTTTTAGGTTTAAATCCTAGTTAAAGCATAAAATTATATGATTTTCATAAGATTTTCATTATAATTAAACACAAGAATATATAAACTAATATGTATTAGAAATTGATCAATCAATTCATTGATCAATGTTAATTATACTTAAATATTGAATTTGAAAAACAAGTAGATATAAATAAAATTAAAGATCAATAAAAACTTGACCTTTACTAATATGTTTATAATAGATACTATCTTATAACTTCAAATAGCAAAAGTTTTACATAAGTAAGAAAGTGATTAACAAGTAATTAGTAGATTTAAATTTATTATAATAACTAAGGTTGCTATTTAAACTCATTTTGAATTTAACAAAACCTCTAAATTATAATTTTGCTAATTTTTACTAAAGTTTTGATATAGTTTCACATTTTTATAAGCTTTGATATAATTTTATTTTTTCTAGAATTTTGCAGATTTTTTAATAAGATTTTAATATAATTTTACTAAATTTTACTTTTTTCCATTTAGATGACTTATAAAATCTCTAGATTTTATTTAACGATCTTAGTAAAAATTATAATAGTTAATATAATTATTATATTATATACTATAGTATTATAAACGGGTAAATGTGACGCAGCTTATGTTATGCAGAAAATTGACTAAATTGATATAAGTGATATATGTGATATGTCAGACATATGTGACATAATTAACATATTCGACATAGTTAACATATTAGATATAGTTGATATATTAGATATACAGTCAACTCTTGATATAGCGAACTCTTGATATAACGAATTTTTTAAACAAATATAATAAAAATACTCTTGTTATAGCGAATTGGCCAATCAAATCTCTTAAAATCTTCACTATAGCCTTATAGCGAAGTTGAGGTCTAGAACATAGAGTTCGTTATAACAAGAGTTGACTGTAGTTGATATAGTAGACATGTTAGTTATATCTTTATATGTAAATTATTTTATATAAATAGATAGCTTTTTAGTTCATGTAAAGACAGATAGATAGGAACTTGACAAATTAGTTTTAGTAGTTTTAGAGGCAACTGGCCTATCGCGTCACCTTTTAGCTTTAATATTTCATTTCTTTTATTTTCTTTTCTTATTTTCTTTTATTTTTCTTTACTTTTCTTTATTTCTTTTTTCTATATTATTATTTTACTCGCGAATAAACACATTATTTATAAATACAATTTACTGGCAATCTGTTAAATCGTAACTCATTGTAATCATATAAATACTTTTGATAAATCATCTGAATTAAAGCTATAAACCGTTGAAAGATTACTGCTTAATTAAAAAGAATAAACTGCTTGAACATCCTGTTTAATAGTCGTAATTCATAAGAATTACACATTAACAGTATTTTTCAAATTGAGTTATTACTAAAGATAAAGACTAAGTTTTATTTTCTAATGAATTTAATGATATAGATATAATAATCATTACCTTTATGATTTTACATAAAGATGATAACTCTCAGAATATAAGTTTTATAAGATTATTTTGTTACTAGATTTATCTGATAATAAGTAAAGATTATAGTTTCTAATAAGAGTTATGATAAAAATAGGATATAAAAAGCTTTATAGCTGAAATAATCTCTCTATCTAGTGTTTAATAATATCTAATAAAATCTAATGAGTCTATTACTACAGATTTAACTATTTTAGGTATCTAAATCTAGATGATAATTATATAGAATGTTTTTTAGATAGGTTAGTATACTCTTTAAATAAAATCAAAGATTTAAAAAGATAATCTTACAGTTAAAATTAAATATGCCCTTTTGAAAGCATATTTGTGATTTAACCTCTAGCTAATGCATATTAATAGAAAAAATATTCATTAAGCTTTAAGTTTTAAAATAAATCTTATCTTATAATAATTTTTAATAAATAAACTGCTTAATACTATTATTTAACTGTTAATTAGGTGAATTGAAATACTTAATCCTGATTTTAGCAACTTTGTTGTAGATTAATCTGAAATTAAATTGGTATAGAATAATATTCTGAATAGTTCAGTTCAGTTCAGATTATAAATCTTAAAAATGCTAATCTAAAACTGAACTGAATCATAAACTGGTAAAATCCAAACTGAACTGAAAATTTCAGATTAATCCAAAATTTTGAATCATTTGAAACGATTCTTTATCATTCATTTGAAATGATATTTTATCATTTTAATCAAATGATTTTCTTATCGTTCATTTAAAACGATAATTTAATCATTCTAATCAAACGATTTTCTTATCATTCGTTTAAAATGATAACTTCAATTATTCTAAATGAATGATTTTTTTATCATTCTTTTAGAATGATAATTTAATCATTCCAATCAAACGATTTTTTTATCATTCATTTAGAATGATAACTTCAATTATTCCAATCGAATGATTCTTTTATTGTTTGTTTAGAATGATAATTTTATCATTTCAATTGAATGATCCTTTTATCGTTTGATTAAAACGATAATTTAATCATTTGATTGAAATGATAATTTAATCGTTTTAATTGAATAATTTTCTTATCATTCGTTTGAAATGATAACTTCAATTGTTTCAAATGAATAATTCTTTTATTGTTCTTTTAGAATGATAAATTTAATCATTCTAAACGATCTGAAATTTTGGATTAATCTGAAATTTTCAGTTCAGTTCAGATTTTTTTCAGTTC